ACTTGGGATGCATATTGATGTTAGAAATTGCTTGCACTTTCATAAGCTGCAGATGGGCAACAGAAAGTGGATATTCACTTAAAATAATGCACCTGATGCACCTTGGACATATTGCGGTGTATGAGTGAACACTAAATAATAATAATAATAATAATAATAATAATAATAATAATAATAATACAGTCGTACCTTGGTTCGTGAATGCCTTTCTCCTGCAGCTTCTGGTTTTTTTTTTAATAAGATATTTATTAAGGTTTTCAAAATATTACAAAGTAAAAAAAAATAAAATACAAAACAAAAATAGTTAAAAACAACTCAATCTTTCCATTACTTATTTTTCATTAGCTTGTTTCCCGGACCTCCTCACGCCTCCCTTTTTTGTATTCCAGTTCAGTTTGTTGGTTCAGCAAATCCTTCCCCTCTTTGTTTATCCTAATCTTTAATCTTAAAGTATTGTAACATTAAATATTTACCTGTTAGTAATCCATTTTTCATATTCCCTTATAGTATTTCAGCTAAAAACCACTTAATTTCTATCCAACATCATTCTAACATTCATTAATTTTACAATATTTCTGTAAATAGTCTTTAAATTTATTCCAATCTTCTTCCACCGACTTTTCTCCCTGGTCTCGGATTCTGCCAGTCATTTCCGCCAGTTCCATATAGTCAATCACCTTCATCTGCCATTCTTCCAGAGTGGGTAGATCTTGTGTCTTCCAATACTTTGCAATGAGTATTCTTGCTGACTGTTGTGGCATACATAAAAAAAGTTCTATCCTTCTTTGGCACCAGTTGGCCGACTATGCCCAGGAGAAAGTCCTCTGGTTTCTTCAAGAAGGTATATTTAAATACTTTTTTCAATTCATTATAGATCATCTCCCAGAAAGCCTTAATCCTTGGGCACGTCCACCAAAGGTGAAAGAATGTACCTTCAGTTTCTTTACATTTCCAACATTTATTATCAGGCAAGTGATAGATTTTTGCAAGCTTGACTGGTGTCATGTACCACCTGTATATCATTTTCATAATATTCTCTCTTAAGGCATTGCATGCCGTAAACTTCATACCTGTGGTCCATAACTGTTCCCAGTCAGCCATCATTATGTTATGTCCAACATCTTGAGCCCATTTAATCATAGCAGATTTCACCGTTTCATCCTGAGTGTTCCATTTCAACAGCAAGTTATACATCTTTGACAAAATCTTAGTTTTGGGTTCTAACAGTTCTGTTTCTAATTTTGATTTTTCCACCTGGAAGCCAATTTTCTTATCCAAATTATATGCCTCCATTATCTGATAATAATGAAGCCAGTCTCGCACTTTGTTTTTAATTTCTCAAAACTCTGCAGTTTCAATCTATCTCCATCTTGTTCCAAAATTTCCCAATATTTCGGCCATTTGGCCTCCATATTGAGCTTTTTCAGAGCCTTCGCTTCCATCGGTGACAGCCATCTTGGAGTTTTATTTTCAAGTAGATCCTTATATCTTATCCAAACATTAAACAATGCTTTCCTGACAATATGGTTTTTAAATGCTTTATGTGCTTTGACCTTATCATACCACAAGTATGCATGCCACCCAAATACATTGTTAAAACCTTCTAAGTCCAAAATGTCTGCGTTTTCCAGAAGCAGCCATTCTTTCAACCAGCAAAAAGCTGCTGATTCATAATAAAGTTTAAGGTCTGGCAGGGCAAATCCACCTCTTTCCTTTGTATCTGTTAGTATTTTAAATTTTATTCTAGGCTTCTTGCCCTGCCAGACAAATCTAGAAATATCTCTCTGCCACTTCTTGAAACAGTCCATTTTGTCCACAATTTGCAATGTTTGAAACAAAAACAACATTCTAGGCAATACATTCATTTTTATCGCAGCAATACGACCCAGCAGTGAAAGCTTCAAATTTGACCAAATTTCTAAATCTTTTTCACTTCGGCCCAGCATTTTTCATAGTTGTCTTTAAATAAATTCCCATTTTTGCTGTCATGTTAATCCCCAGGTATTTCACTTTCTTAACCACTGTTAAGCCTGTCTCATTCTGAAACCTCTCTCTCTCAATCGGTGTTAAATTTTTCTCTAAAACCTTGGTTTTTAACTTATTCAGTTTGAATCCTGCAACCTGACCAAATTCTTGAATCAGTTCTAAAACCCTTTTGGTACTAGATTCTGGCTCCTGTAACGTCAATACTAAGTCATCTGCAAATGCTCTCAATTTGTACTGTTTGGCTCCGACTTGTATACCTTTAACCAACTGGTCCCTTCTAATCATATTCAGCAAAACCTCCAGGACCGATATAAAAAGCAATGGGGAGATTGGGCAACCTTGTCGTGTCCCTTTTTCTATCTTAAATTCTTCCGTCACCACATTATTTACAATTAGTTTAGCCTTTTGTCCTGAATAAATTGCACTTATACCGTTTTCAAAGCCTTGGCCTACCCCCATCCCCTGGAGGTTCTTCTTCATAAAACTCCAAGAGATATTCTGCAGCCAATCGGAAGCCACGCCTTGGTTTCCGAATGTTTTGGAAGTCAAACAGACTTCCGGAGCAGATTCCATTCGACTTCCAAGGTACCACTGTATACTAAATTTATATACAGTGGTACCTCTAGTTACAAACTGAATCCGTTCCGGAGGTCCATTTGTAACTGGACACCATTCTTATCCTGAGGTGCACTTTTGCTAATGGCGCCTCCCACTGTGTACAATTTCTGTTCGCATCCCGGGGCAAAGTTCGCAACCAGGAGCAGCTACTTCCAGGTTAGCGGTGCTTGTAACCCAAAGCGTGTGTAACCAGAAGTGTTTGTAACCAGAGGTACCACTATACCACCCTTCATCCGAAGATCCCAGGGTGGTTCCCTCAGTGTTCTTCAAGGTAAGTTGGCTGGGGCTGATGGGAGCTGAAGTTCAACAACTTCTGGAGACCCATTGTTGGAAAACCCTGATATAGCTGGGTGGGGGGGCACTAGGGGGCGCATTGGAAGATGGCCGACAATACCCTCTCTCCGACCCACACGGGGTAATTAAGAGGCTGTTATGGGAGTAGGCAGCCTCCCTTGTTGCCCCAAGGAAATGGGGAACACTGCCCTTGCCTGCTGTGCCCATAAATCACCCCCTAATTCGAAAGAAGGAGGTGAGGGCCCTAGGCAGAATGCCCCCGTGTGGACATTGGCTTTCCTGGACGCTGTCTCTGATCACGCACTAGTTGCAGCAATTTGGAATAATTAATTACAAAAGAAGCAAATGCACATATTTCAAGTGAAGAAGGGGAGTGAAGTCTGCTAATTTAAGTGACCTCTGCGAAAGAAGACGACGGGTTGGAGAAACAGGAATATTTTACGATGAAGATACACCAAAGGCGGGGTATGTTGACAACGGGGCTGAATGGGGGGGGGGGCTTTTTTACTTCTATGTGATTTACAAGAACCCCTCCTCATTAGAACCGTCGGTTGAACTGACCCAAGCAGGATGATTAAGGTCTGTGTGGAGATAAACTTTAACCAAAAGTATGCTTTATGGAGACCGAGAAGCAATAAGAGCTTTTGGGAATGGCGCAGCAATTAATTCGGAGTCGCCATCTTGCCAAAGGATTTACAGCCGGGAGGAAGAAAGGATTTGTTTTCAGACTGCATTCCTAGTGAATCTCCTCAGAGGTTTTGAGAAAGGAGGCAGATTGGTGAAGATTAATGACGCTAAGACTGTTTTGATGTATGGAAGTGATATATGGAAAATGTCTGGATATGGCTACTGGATAAAAAAAATAACATCCACGCAGGATTACAAACTGTTCTAACCAGCTTGCAGAGACTATCAGAGGTCACAAAGAGAAAGGAAAAATATATGAAAATAACAACAAGAGATGTGGAAAAATAATAAGAAAGGACTGGATAGTACTGTGAACATCATAAGGTTAGATTTGTGGACATTAAAACAGCAGTAAGAAGCAAGAAGTTGATTGGATCCCTTCGGAACTTGAAATATGGGTACCCCCAACAAAAATTTAAAATTCGGCTCTGTAATTTGGAATTTATGTAATTTGGTTTGATTTGATGTGATTGGTCGGTTAAAAAAAAATTATTCTTAAAAAAAAAAAGATATAGCTGGGTGAACCCATCCACCCAAAGTTGCCATGTCTGTTGGTAGTCACTCAGGGTACTGACACATTTGGGTTCAAATTGCACTTCGACCCCAAATGTTTGGTTATATTACTACTACTAGTAGTATTTATGCCATTTCTCACTTGTGCATTTCTTTCTATCTTTTTCACAAACTTTACTGATTTTTTTTTTTTTTGCTCTCGAAATAAATGATAATGAATGTCACAAGGGGGCTGTTAAAAATGAATGGGAAAGATCAATCTTGCACGGCACTTTGCCTACAAGGTCTCCCAGAAAGCAGAAGTGTACATTTAACTTTGCAGAACTGTGGAAACATTTGATTCCTCACTTGTTTGTACCATAATGATGTCCCTGAAATGGCATGATGAAAACTGCCATCCAGGACTGCAGTGCCAGCAATCGGCTCGTGGCATTTGAAGTATTAATCCTAAGTGCATTTCCCATTATGTTACAGCTCCTTTTCATAATGTGCAGAGGTGTCTCTGTCTTTTGAAATGTCACAATGCTGGTCGGAGAAAATTAGATGGTGGTTTCCTTTTAAATGCCAGGCAGCAGATTTTATCTGTTTTACAGCATATCCTGAAGTACCACAAACCCATTACACAATAACAGAGGCTACTAGTTGTGAGTCACCACAGGCAGGTTGCTTTAAAGTGTTTCATGCAGCAAAGCATTTCTGAGCTGCTGCTTTCTACACAAACCTGGTTACAGAAATTAGAGCTTTGCAAAGGAATAGAGACGAACTTTCCCAAACTGTGAGATGAGCTGCAAAACATTTTGTGGCCTATCCCATGCAACAGGGAACAAGTTGAAGTGACAAGACTATGACTTCTCTATGCACTGGACCAGGGATCACAAACTTTTGGGCCAATTTTGAATTGTGAGAGAAAGTGTTGTGGGTGTCAGTCACAAAATGGCTGCTGTGGTGGTGTGGCATAATGCAAAATGGCTGCTTTGGGGGCATGGAGGAGAGACTGAGACAACGCAGAAAGGAGCTGAGCAGGAAGAACGTTCTCTTATGCAGTGTGGTTTTTTGACTGGATATTTACTGAGACCTTTTGCACATGGGGAGGTCACTTCAGTGCTGCTAACGCACCAGTCTGACTTCACCCCTGGAGGTGCACTCCATTGCCTCTCAAGACAGACAGATGCCAATAACCACTGAGCACAGCAGCATCTGTGGGCACTGTGTTGATGATATGTGCCTGATCCTATACATTGTGCATGTAGGAAAAGAGAGAGTGTGTTGTGTCTGTCCTGTTCCTACTAGGGCTAGTGAACTTGTAACTTCTGAACCCTTTCCTCAGCAGTGGAATTAAGTGTTTTGTTCAGAATTTTCTTGTTTGACTTGGGTTGTCATTTAGTCCTGGCATGTGTGTAAGAGGAGCAGGACCATGGGTGCCTGCCTCAGCCCCTGACATAATTTTTTAAATAAAATAAATTAAAAATATTTAAACACAGTACTGCTGTGTAAATGATACTTGTGTGTATATGGCTTTTTCCTATAACTAGGGAGCCCTGACTGCCCCTGGAGTTTGTAATTGCCTTATAAAGCTTTACGTGGGTAGACTGTTCAAATGCCGAATGTGTCAACATTATAGGTGTGGTCAGCAGGGTGTGGTCTGTTTTCTCTGAGTGTGTGCATGTGATCATGAATGGTTTTATTGTGATGCAATAAGCAAAACTCCTCAAATTCCTTTTCCTACTCAAGCCACTTGGGGTTTATTAGCTTCATTCAAAGGGTCTACAGAAACTTGTGGAAATAGTTGGGCATATCAGTAGTCGATCTTGAATTTGTTTTATTTTCCCCGACGGTAGAGATGGAACCTATTTTGACAGGGGCCAGATTATCAAACATGTTAAAAAGGTTATGTCTCGGGGCCTGTGATTTTCACAATACAGTGCTGGTGCAGTCTACTAATTGCCCCCCGACCATCTCCCAGTTAAAGGGGCCCTTCTCAGTAGACTGGGCCTAGGGCACGTGAACTTTCATAAGATGAAAGGCATTGGTTTCGAAGACAATCAAATGTATTAAACGGTCTGCTAAGACCTACAGCAATGTCCAAATGGTTTGCAAAGAGAAAGTCCGAGTTCTGCCTTGATTAGTCACTTGTTCCTTTTTCCTTTGCATGTTCTTCAGTCCGTCACTGAGATACTAGGTGGCAGGAAGAGTCCCTAAAGCTGTTTCCTAAGCATACTATGGATTGTAGCCCTGCAGGCAGAAGTTCTTTCTTTCATATAGCTGTTGTACAGCACTGCAGTAGAGGTAGAACAAAGCCACTGTGGCTTATAGCCATTGATAGCTCTTTCCATGAATTTGTCTAATTCTCTTTTAAAGCCATCCTTCCTGAGTTAGGGCATGTATACCTTGAATTTTATGGCTGTTTGGCCTCACTCTGCACCTGTTGCATGTGCATAAGGTAACTTGGTATGTGAGGATAACCCATCACAAAGCTTCTCTGTTATTGTTTGCTCTTTTTAAAAATTTAATCCTTAACATAAAAAAGATGTGACAAAGCTAACACCCCTCTAGCCGATTCCTGCACAAAGCAAACATTTATCTGACAGAAGCGGAGTACATATCTAATGGATTCCCCCCCCCCCCATCATTAGCGTGGTCTCATCCATTTTTCTAATGGTATGTTTAGTTAGAAGTCATGATTATGTTCCACATGAACCCTGATGTTGTGTTTATATTTTGCATTATTAACTATATTAGTGAGATGTGTATGGAGATGAAAATGAGCTATGGGAGATCTGAGACAGAACAAGGATTCTGATGAGCTGGTGATGATATTATCCAGATGAGGGAATATGGCAGGCATTAGCTGCATTTTAACCATCTGTCTAATCTTTGCAGCAAAAATGAAACCATGGGCAGCTCTGCAGAGTGCACTAGCGCTGCATCTCAGAACGTGTCCTGAACATTTAAAAAAAATGCGTATTTCTCACAAACAGGGTGAAATTAAATTTTGCTTTAGAAATCAAAGTGTTGAGGTGAGATGCAAAGGTCTGCAAGCCTCCAGTGCTCATACGTAACTCTGCATGAGCTGCCCCACCTTCATTTCTGAGCTAGGACATCCACCACCAGCACAGAGCTTTCCTCCCCATTGAAACGAATAGTGAGAACGCTTCCTGTGTGTCCCCAGGTGACCCCTCCCAGGAGCATACTGCTGCTCTTAGGTGGCTTTACTGAGTGCCTAAGATACAGGTATCTGTTAATGCTGGAGGCAGAAGATAGTTTTAGGGAGCACCTGGTGGTAGCCATTCCAGCAGGCTGTGTTGGAGGAAAAGAAGGGAAGCAGGGCTCATTCCATCAGCTCTGCTGAAAGTCCATCTCCATCTGGCACCTCCTGCCTCTGAACTGCTTCCATTCCAGCTGGTCATTTATAAAAATATTAAAGAACCATATCCTGGTTTCCCTGCCCCCCATCTCTCCATGTTCTCCCCCCACCTTTTGTGCCATGTATTTTGATGGTAGGGTGTGCAGACAGTGACATTCCTGTTTCAGTTGATTGGGTGAAAACCACTCTGAGAGCCATTTTGGCTGAAGTGTGAGGAGCAAATATTATTAAAAAAAACAAGTAAAGAAAATGGCAAGATCCACTTGACGGTGCTGGTAGGGCTTTGCACCATCTAGAGGGCCAAAGATTCCCCACGCCTGCACTAGAATTAGAAATACATGCAAAATCAGAGCTTCATAAATTTAATGCACTTTAAAAGGCACATTTGGAGAGAAAATATGCTCTGGCTAGTTCACCAGCCATGGCCCATTTTGGACAAGAATGACCTTGCTCCTGTACTCCATGCTCTCGTAACTTATTGCAACGCACTCTACGTAGGGCCGCCCTATGTAGATGAATGGGAAAATTCAATTGGTCCAAAATATAGCAGCCAGAATACTTGCTGGGTTTCTGTTTAGATTTCATATAACCTCCATTTCAGAGCAGCTGCACTGGTTGCCAGTTTGTTTCTGGACCCAATCCAAGATGCTTACGTTAGATTTTACCTGTACCTTAAAAATGGCACCTTCTGCCCCACCTCCACTGCCCTCCCAACCTGAATTTCCTGCGATATGGAATGTGGGACTCATGGTGGACAAGAAAGTCCTTCTGCACACATTATAGCAAAGGCAGAGAAGAAGGTTAAGCCATTCAGGCCTCTCCTTCCCCTGCTTCAGTGCTCTCACTAATACTCCTGTGCCTTTAATCCATTTTGATTATATTGTAGCGCTTCAAATTCTTCTATTATTGAAAGAGATTTAACTACTAGCCATTTAGATCTAGCAGCAAGGTTATAGTGCTAAGAAGGTTTTTTATAATGTACTGTGGATTTAAAGGTTGGTTGTTGTGTTTTTTTTAAAAAAAAGGATGTATAAGCCTCTAGCTGAAGTTTTTAAAAAAGTATAAAAAGCCTAATTTTTTAAGCGTTTCGTTTGCTCACTAGAGTGCAGCAGAGAAAGCACAAATCAGGGTTAGGTGTGCTTTTAGTAATAATGACCAGCTAGATTATGAATCAGCCAAGTGCATTTGCAGACACTTTGAGCAAGCTTGAGGGCAGAATCATAGCAACAAATATATCCCTGCAGTCATTTTCATGCCAGTAGATATTAAGCATGATTTCTACTGCAAGAAACTGGAATCGAGGTGATAGTAGCACAGTAATTAGTTCAATTTGGCATTTCACTTGTTTTGATCAAGTGTGCAGTTTTGGGTGCTGTTGGATCCATTCCTGTCCATGGAGACACAAGGAGCCTCTGTAGCGCTGAGGGCTTTCTACCAGCTCTAGCTGTTGGCGTAGCTCTGGCCCTCTTTGATGGGGATAACTGGGCCTCAGTGATCTATGTTCCCGTTACCACTACACATTGGACTACTGCAATGCATTATATGTTTGGCTGCCTTTGGAGATGGTTCAGACATGAGGTAGTGCAACATTGAGTGCCCAGATTATTGACAGACCTGGAGGTCCAAGCATATGGCACGAATTCTCCGCCAGCTGCACAGGTTGCCTATTGATTTCTGAGCTCAATTCAAATTGCTGGTTTAAACTTAAAAAGCAGGGGTTGGGAACCTCCAGTCTGCAAACTAATCTTGGCCCACTAGAGCAGGGGTCAGCTAACTTTTTCAAGCAGGGGGCCGGTCCACTGTCCCTCAGACCTTGTGGGGGGCCGGACTATATTTTTTGGGGGGGTAAGGGGGGGAGAACGAATTCCTATGCCCCACAAATAACCCAGAGAAGCATTTTAAATAAAAGGACACATTCTACTCATGTAAAAACACACTGATTCCTGGACCATCTGCGGGCTGGATTTAGAAGGCGTTTGGGCCGGATCCGGCCCCCGGGCCTTAGTTTGTCTACCTATGACTAGAAAGTCCAATTTGGCCATTTTCCTCAGACAGAGGAAGAACCATGAATCTAAGTGCACAACAATGACTTAGAAACAGGGGCTGACAGACACTTAGAACTGAAGAGACAGGACTTCGCTCAGGACTTTTTAGTACCGGAACTGAGCTTGTAATCCTTTCACACAAAAAGTCTACTCATGTATTCCCCCAAAGCTTTTATCATTTTGGGAGCCATTTTTTGGGAGGAGGGGAGTCAAACATCCATGGTGATCTGCTACATATAATCTAGAGGCCTACCAGTGTCGCTCCATCTTTCTTCTGCCCACCACTGATCCAGCCTGCTCTGACTAGGAGTGCCTCTCTAGGGTCTCAGGCAGAGATTTCCCCCTATCACTTCTTCCCAGAGCCATGAATTGAACCTTGGGGCAGTTGTATGTGAAACAGATGCTCTTTCGGGGACCACAAGACTACACTTCAGATGTCTCACGTCGTGTCTCACGTAACAAGCACGAACGTACTAGACCGGTCTGTCTTTAGATTTCTGAAATAAAGAGTTATTGGTTGTCGTCTTGTATTCTGGAGGGAGAACATTATTCAGGGTGATGGAGCGTAACATGCAACAGGTAGTTTATAGCTCCTCTCTCAAATAAAATAGATATATAGGAAGCAACTTTAAAATATGAAAATGAAACTCGTAATAGGCATTCCTCAAGGACTCTGTAGCAAAAGAAAAAGTAACACATATTCTGGTACAGTTTAATAGAGAGCTGTTCATGATAGAAAAAAAACACCTGTGGGTTTATTGTCTACCTATGTGCTTTGGAAAGTTCATTGTAGCCTTTGGAGGATCATATTCTTTTGAAAGGGAGAGTATGAGAACCTTTTACCATGACCTATTTTACTTGCACGCTTACAGGTTGCGGTGGGGTACATACAAGTGTGCAGGGCCAATTGTGGTTCGAGTTTCTAATTTCAAAGCCACAGCTGCCCAGCCCTCCTTCCAAATCCAACTAACCTGGGGCACGATGGAGCTGTTTCTGCCAGCGTCTCCAAATAGCTGGAGGCCCTGCTATGATTCTTAGATGGCTGGGCGGAATTTTAAAATGGCTTCATTCTTGACAAGGCTTCAAGGCAATACCACTGTGTTGCTTGCCAGGCCATTACAAATTTGTGTGTGCATGTGTACGTGCTGAAGTTTATTAAAGGTATTACAATGTAATGCAGTTCTAAACTATTAATATAAAGGGTGATGAGACAGATCCTCTTGGGTGATAAGATTGGCAGCGGGTCCCCTCTTGGTTGTTCCACCACCTTCAGAAGTTGAGAAGGGGTTGGTCCAGGAGAGGGCATTCCCCTGGACTGTCCCTAAGTTGTGGAACTCCCTCCCTGCAGAGGCATCTTCATTATACAGCTTTTCAGAGAATCCTGAAGACGCACCTGTTCACCTTGACTTTTGACTCCTGAGATGTATATTTTTAGGACCCACCTTATTTTAGTATTGTGTAATGCCGCTGTGGGTTAAACCACAGAGCCTAGGACTTGCTGATCAGAAGGTCGGCGGTTTGAATCCCCGCGACGGGGTGAGCGCCCGTTGCTCAGTCCCAGCTCCTGCCAACCTAGCAGATCGAAAGCACGTCAAAGTGCAAGTAGATAAATAGGTACCGCTGCGGTGGGAAGGTAAACGGTGTTTCTGTGTGCTGCTCTGGTTCGCCAGAAGTGGCTTAGTCATGCTGGCCACATGACCCGGAAGCTGTGCGCCGGCTCCCTTGGCCAATAAAGCGAGATGAGTGCCGCAACCCCACAGTCGGTCACGACTGGACCTAATGGTCAGGGGTCCCTTTACCTTTACCTTTAATGCTGTGTTTATGTTGTGCTTTAATGGTTGTTACCCACCCTGAGATCTTAGGCTAACAAATTGTAATAATAAGAATACAGGAAGGTGCCTTATATACCATTGGTTCATCTACCTCACTATGTTGACTGGACGTGGCTCTTCAGTGTCTTGCAGGCAGGACACTTTCCCAGCCCTGCCTGGAAACACCTGAGATTGAGCCGGAGACCTTTTCCAAGCAAATCAGTTGCTCATCCTAAGAAGAGCAGGGATAGGAAGAAGAGTGCACATCAAGGCTCAGTCTCATTTGGGGTGGGGTGGGGTTTGGAGTGACACCTGAACCCAGCCCCCTGTAGCAAAGGCAACAGCATTGCACATGTGTATATGTAGTTCTGCATGAACATTTCACTTACATTTCTTGTGCCTGCCTTATGACATAGATTTTTTAAAAACATCACAAATAGGACCCCACGAATGTTGTCTTGGTTTACTAGGCAGATTAATTGATGGCTGCCGCAGCCTCTCCCTACCCCCTGGCAACCTGTAGCAGGCTCAGAGAGCTTGGGGAAAACGAGCAGGGTCTTCTCTCATTTTTGCAACATGTGGAGGCAGCAAGAAACAGAAGGAATGGCTTTCCACTGCTCAGAAAATAATCCTTGGAAACTGCAGTGAAAATGAGACCTCTGAGGTAGGAATTGGTATGATTCTGGGTGCCTTGCTCACCAGAGGGTTGGGAACTCTTACTGCTGAATTTATGGGTGCCTGTTTATTGAGCATATTCCTTGGTATGATTTCCCTCCCTCTTTGTCTCTAGGATTATATATACTTGTCTTATACTGTTGCTTGCTGCCAGCCCATCTGGAAATATGTCAAGGAATGCAATGGCATTCCAGATGGGCTATGCAAAGTAATGTTGTTTTTAACCTGTATGTTCCCCAGTCCTGTCTCCTGGAAATAGCTTTTCATGGATCTGGTAGAGCATATGGGGGCACTTTTTTTTTTAAGGTGAAATAAATATGTTCCACTGGTATAAATACTCATGCTGAGCTATTCCCAGTAAATATTGGCAGACAAGGTGGGTGTGAATTTTAAATGTGTGTGTTTACTTACTGGCATCAATCCATTGTAAGACTGGGTGTAACACAAGATTCTTATTTCAAAACCAAATAGTGTTGTTGTTTTTAAAGCAACAGACAGACAAACAAACAAACAAACAAACAAACAAACAAACAAACTGGTGGCTGTCAAAACTCATCTGAGGTTACAGAAAACTAGTTGGATAATGCTAGACAAGGTTTGTTCTAAAATACTGGAATGTAAGAATGCATTCTTGTTGAGATTCTTACCACATTTTTTCCTTCATGGTACTTCTTGCACTTTGCAAAATGAACACAAGGAAGAACCTGCCTTTGGAAAACGTATGCATGATTTGACATAATGTAGCAAATCTTCAGTGGCTTTATGGTTGAACACACAGCAAGAGGTTTATTTATTTGTTAAGATACGTTTTCACCACCTTTTGGCCCTGGTGGGTTTCCATGACAGTGTACAATCTTATAAAACAGCAACAGTATAGCAGGGCAATAATAAAAACAGCTAAAAAATGAGTGCTTGCTAGTAAATACTCAACAGCAGAAGTGGAGCAAAAATTCAAACACTTGGCAAATCAAAAGAATTATTGGAATAACCGGGTCAACCACCTGTTGAAACCTTTCAGTATGCGGAATGAGCAACATTTAGTGGATCTTGTTTACAGAGCAGACTTTGCTTGTTGCAAACACATACACGTGTAGGCAAGAAAATAATGAAGTTTTTATAGTAGAACAAGGCAGCCATACAGTGGTGCCCCGCAAGACGAATGCCTCGCAAGACGGAAAAACCGCTAGACGAAAGGGTTTTCCGTTTTGGAGTTGCTTCGCAGGACGAATTCCCCTATGGGCTTGCTTCGCAAGACGAAAATGTCTTGCGAGTCTTGAGATTTTTTTTTCACTTTCCCCCCCCTTTATCTAAGCTGCTAAGCCTTTAATAGCCTTTTAGCAGCTAATCCGCTAAGCCTTTAAGCCTTTAATAGCCGCTAAACCGCTAATAGCGCTAATCCATTAAGCCGCTAATAGGGTTGCTTCGCAAGACGAAAAAACCGCTAGACGAAGACACTCGCGGAACGGATTAATTTCGTCTTGCGAGGCACCACTGTACTTGCTTCTAAGGTCATTTAAGATGACCTCTCATCTTGAGGTCTGAGAGAGGAGGAGGAGGAGAGGAAGAGGAAGAGGAGGAAGAAGAAGAAGTTGTAAACAGGATGTGACATGGATGCTGGTGGCTGCCAGAACCTCAATTGCCCCCAAATGGAAAACCTTACAGGACTTGTGAACTTTTCTTTGGTATAAAAATATGTGGTTTAGCATTAGCTGAATGCCCCCCCATCATAAATTACATGTTGTCAAAGGCTTTGAGGACCCTGAAAAATTCTATGCTGTTTTGTTTTACCTTATAGACGACAAATACAGACACACAGGACCCCCTCTCAGCTGTATGTTAACTTTGGCTTTCTTAATAGTCTTAAGTACTCTTCTTACCTGATATTAAGTCTCTCCCAGATATACTGCACTGCTTTTCAAATTTATATTTGTGCTTCCATTGTTTTTATTGTATTGCTTTGTTTGATTTACTTCAGGGTTGTTGTTGTTTTGAGATGAAGAGCATAATGAGTGGGCTGGCCTGTGGCAGGAGGGAGTATTTTTTAAATAAACGGGTCCTCAACTTCTGAGCATTGTGGTGTTTTACTGGCATTTGTATAATGATAAATTCATACACAGTCTGCGGGTGCCAGCCTTCTGTACATTCCTCAGGGCAAGCAAGAAATGGTTGCTTATATTTTATGGCATGAGATGCTCATCAATTCCATTTCTAAGCGTAGGATCAGTTGTTTTATTGTAGCTTTGAATCCCTTTGCTTGTAATTGGGATTTCAGGACCAACAAACAGCATGCTTGCCTAACTCTTCTGAAGAGCACACTTCTATGCATGTGGTATAAATCTTTTGGACGGTGTCTGAGATGTAAGGGACTGACACCCACGGAAAACAATTTCTTCCGCAGGCAAACTGTTTCACTTCTAGGTAAAGTAAATTCAACAACCTGCATAATCCTGATGTGATTTTATAGCTGTCATCACTACTTGCTAATCCCAGTTCCACATTCCATCATGCCAAGGACAGGTTTTATTAACACTCAGATCCAGTTTCTATGTTGTCTCTCTGATTGTGCCATTTTAGCAATGACAATATTTAAACCGTGTGATTAGGATAGATCACGTAATTATATGTCATACTAGCAGTGCCTTGCCCCATGTGTCAACATGCATGCAGTCAGCTTTTTACATCACTGTTGGTTCCCCCCATGCTTTCAAAGCCCTCCTCTACTGAGAGGTCTGAGAACCAGGAACTGTTGATACCATTTGCTCAGGTGAGAAACCCTGGTCCTCTTTGGAAGTGTGTTTCCCAGGACTTGTGCTTAGTAGCACACTTCTAGGGTGTGGGGGAGAGGAGCCATTTCTTTTTGGTTGCTGTGGGGACCCAGTAGGGCAACAGTACCTACAAGAGGACTGGGGGGAAGGGCTTTTAACATCACTCTTCACCCACCACCAGGCTCGATTGGGAGTCCTGAAATTCAGGAGCTGCTCTTGCTGTCTGCACAGTGAAGCCTGCCAGACCCAAGGAAAAGTAAACATGGAACTGTAGAGGGGATATTTTAGAATTAAGATGTGCTAGAAATGTTTTGATTCTATATTGCTATGTAAAGCTCTTTGCCAACTTGGTGGTTGAAAAGTGGTATAGAATTATTCTACATAAATGAGAGATGGAGGAAAAATCTTGCTATTGCTGCAAGGCAAAGT